GCACCCGCAGCAGCTGAGCCGCGAGGAGAAGCGCCGCCGCCGGCGCGCCACGGCCAAGTACCGCACGGCCCACGCCACGCGGGAGCGGATCCGCGTGGAAGCCTTCAACCTGGCCTTCGCCGAGCTGCGCAAGCTGCTGCCCACGCTGCCCCCCGACAAGAAGCTCTCCAAGATCGAGATCCTGCGCCTGGCCATCTGCTACATCTCCTACCTGAACCACGTGCTGGACGTCTGAGCAAGGCCTGCCTCCCGCCCTGGATTCACCCCTCCTGCCGGGGCCTTTCTGGGGTCCCTTCTGTCGCTCACTGCTTAGCACAGCCTCTCCTCCCTGAGCCCCTGTAGCTTGGCATGGCGTGTCCCCACAGGCCCCGGGCCAAGGCAGAGTGTCCAACGGTTGGTCACAAAGGCGACTTCCGTTTACTCACCCAGAGGGCTATTCTCATGGGTACCTTCTGTAGTTTGTGGTTGGGGCCCGGCTGGTTAGAAATGTTTGCTTGGGTGGTGGGTTTCCTTGGTCTTGGCGTCTCCCCCTAGCTCATTCATGGGCTCTTTTATCCCTATATCCAAAATTTCAGAGACCCCAGACCCAGCTCTGCCTCCTAACCTCTTTCCACCCAGTTCCGGCTTCTCCTGCCCAAGGTAGGGAGGGAGCCTGGGAACAGAAATAGGGGGAGGCTGGGGTTAGAGTGAGGGTGGGCTCTTGGGGAAGCAGGGGCAGGGTGAGGTAACTCCCCTGAGGGGAATCTCAGTAGCTGGGAATTATGGGAAAATTCTTCCTGTTCACTGTCTTGTTCCAGAGGCTTAGCACCTACAGACCTCGGATCTTACTTGGTAGTGAGTGCCTTGCCCTCTCTGAGCTATTTGGCCCCCTCCCTGTCCCCTCCCAGTCCAACCATCCCAATTTTCTCCCTCCCTGTGTGCAGCCAGAGAAAGGGAAACCTAGATCTTGGGGTAGGGGATGATGTCCCCAAACTCAGCCCAGAGTATCTGAAAAGACCCAGGCGATGGGTGGGCCAGCTCTCATATCTGCTTCCTCCAACCCAGCTCACCACGAAACTGCATAACCTACACTGATTCCTCCCTTTGATGCAGGGCGGGGGGGGGGGGGCTGCCCAGTTATTTCCCTCTGGGAAAGCTCAGCTCTCCTGGCCCTAGAACTTATTTATTACATTTGTTTCTCCTTCCTTAAGCTGTCTTTAGCAAGAGAAGAGACCCCTCAACCCCCACCCCTCCTCGAGGCTCGCTGCCCTCCCCCCATTGCTGAGCCCACTACAGCCCAGGATCAGTGGTAGAATGAAGGGCCCGAGGACCTGTGTAGAAGAGAGCATGCTTTCCCCATGCTCCCACCTTCCTCGCACCAAACTCCTAGCTCTACAAGGATATTATTTATTTACGTATTTATTTATTTATTTATTTATCTATTTATTTACTTATTTATTTATAAATATTACTATTTATTGCCGAGTTGTGCACTTTGGGGTAGAGCAGGGGGGCTCCTGGCCGCTTGAGCCGGGTCTCTCTTGCTTCCTCCCTGGTTATTCCCTTCCCTTTCCTGCTCCTTCTGCAACTCCAGGTATGTGTGGGGATCCCTTTTGCTCACCACACCCACATCCCTCCCTAGGATCCATCTGTCCTGACACCCTGGTCCTCTGGGATGGTGCCCCTCCCCTACTTCCAGGGCTCCTGGATCCTTCCGCAGCTCCCTCTATCCCCAGACAATCCCCCTCCCAGTCCCACCGCCTCTTTTCTCTCTCCAGCCCTCCCCCATGACCCTCACTTCTTCCTAATAAATCTAAGTGCAGGCCCTAGGGGTGACCTGTGTCCTGTGTCCTGTGTGTGATTCCTTTCTGTTGCATTTATGATTTCATACAAAAAGAAAAATTAAAGTGACCTCGTTCTAGCGCCAGGTATGGTTGTGGATCATTTGATTGGGTTGGGAAGCTGGATTGCAGGTTCTGGTAGGGCAGGTGTTGAGAACCCTAAGCCTTGAAGGCTCTTCTTACGGGGTCATGAGAGCTCAGTACGGTGGGCAAATGAAAACAGAGAGAAGAAGCCGTCACAGTAAAGTGGTGCAGGGGAGGGTATAACTCACAGGTCCCAAGCTTCTCCACCTAAAGTCCCATGTGCTGTATCTTGGCACTCACTGGGTGACATTTTCTGACTTCTCTGATGTTGTGCTTCCGCTCCTGCTCTCTGTGGATCAGAGGAGGAGCTGAGTGTCCCAGTGGAACCCAAGTTAAACATGGGTCTGTGGATCCATGATGGTGGGCTATGAAACATTTCATGCCATGGCTATGAAACATTGCCTTCCTCATTATTTTCTCTGAGCTGCGTCATAATTCCTTTCAGTCTCAATTCTTGGCCCATTTGGTGTTCCCCAAGCTTATTAGAATGCTGAGGAGGATACTGTGGAGGGCCTGGGACTAAGAGAAGAGTAGGGAAAGGGATAAAAAGGAGTGCTGAAGGAATATCAAAGGAATCCTGAAAGGGACTCTAAAATCAATTTATGTAAGAAATTTAGAGCCCAGAGAGGAGGGCCTTGCCCAAGGTCACATAGCTAGTTAGGGGCAGAGATAAAGTTCAAACCCGGGTTCTTCTTGTCCAATACTGCCAACACCCCTCTGCCTCCCTGAAATGACCCGGCCAACAGGTGGCACTTTCTGGACTCCCTATTTTAACAGGGACTTTGATAAATTAAGGAGTATTCAGAGTTGTGTGGCCAAAAAGGCAAAGGTTTGCAGATGACTTTACAAAAATAGTTGAAAAACTGAGATATGTGTCATTACAAGAGTAGATTTAGGGACATGATTTGATACCACTTCAAATATTGAAAGAAAAAACAAACACAGACACCCTATGTGGCCCCTGGAGGCAGAACGAGAGCCAGTAGATGAAAGTGAGAGGGAACAGATTTTAACTTCAAAAAACCTGAAACACCTGGAGCTGTCCAGCAGTGGAAGTGCCTGCCTCAAGGAGGAGTCCAAACAGACAGGATGGAGAATCCTTTGCAGGCAGAGTTACCAGGAAGCCTTTCCTCCCTAGATGAATCACTGGCTAGGAAAACTTGAAGATCCTTTCCAAACTTAAAGTCATCTGAGAAGGTTGAAGTCCAACACTGGGAGGAAAGTGCTAAGATGCCCTTCAGTCTCTGAAGTGTGCTTTGTTTGCATCTCTGATGGGCAAAGAATGACATCAGTAGCAAGAAGGGTTTGAGTGAGACTGGGAGGAACTCCCATCGAGGAGGAGGTTGACATCTTCACTTCCCTATCAGAGTTGGATGAAATGTACTCTGCCCAGAGCCTGGCAAGAGGGAGGGCTGAGCAGAGATCAGGGAGAATTGGGGGACTACCAGGGGCCAGAGCTGGAAGGGAGCATGGAAATCGCTGAATCTGACACCTTTGTTTTAAAGGCAGGTAGAACCTGTCCACAGAGGTGATGGGACTCACCCACAATGGTGGACTGGGGTAAGAACCTGTGCCTTCCATTCCTGGCCCCCGTGCTTTGTACCTTCCCCTGAGCAGCAGCCTCAGTCCTCTGAGCTCTGAGCACCCTGCCTCCCTCTCTCATCACTTTGCCTTGATGGAAAGCAGAAGGGGTTACTGGGCCCCTCCCCTCGGGGATCCCTAGGGCCTGGGGGTGGTGAGAGGGGGCAGCTGCAGCTGTTCTACTGCTAGCTCCGAATTTCTTCAGATAATCAATTGGCCTCGGCTGCCGATCTGCTCCACAGGACTGGAGGAGGAGGAGGTGGGGAGGAGGAGGGGGAAGGGCGCAGGGGACCAGGCACTGGGAGAGGAGACTGTCAGGGAGATGGAAGTCCTGGAATGAGGGAAAAGGGAGAGCTCTGGGGCTAATACTCAGGGAGAAGGGAGGAAGGGAAGGTTAAAAGGGGATGCATCTGGGGGCCCTCGTTTCACAGCCTCCAAAACCCAGCAAGTGGGCCAGCAGGGTAGGGGAGGGGCGGTTTGGGGTCACCCCGCAAGTCACTTCTCCTTTCCTCCTCCAGCACCTTCCCATCCACGGCTGTGCCCCTTTAGGCTTCCCATGCCCTCTTCCATCCCCAGTTACTGGTGGCCTTGACCCTCCCATGCTGTCTGTCATAAGTGCTCCCCTCTGCCCTTTTTCTCAGAAAACCCCACCCCCAATGACAAAGCAGACAGCAGGGCCCCAGGGGTTTGAGAGAGTAAGGGGAGGACTCTTAGCCACTCCTCCCCCTCCTCTCCTTACACACACACACACACACACACACTGTGTGGGCTGCCAGGCATATGGCCCCTTTGTGCCCACACAATGGAGGCTCTGCCTGTGCCCCTTTCCAGTCTAGGCATGAGGGTTGGGGGGGCTCCTCTCCTGCATCTCACTCACCTTCCTTCCTTCTCCATCCCCAATGCAGGGCTCGCCTTCTTTGCCTTCTCTTCCTCCTGTCTGGAAGGCCCCTTAGACCACCCCCTCCTTCCTCTTTCTGACTTTCTTGCTTTCTTGTGTCCTTTCCTAAGCTCTTGAAGGCTGACTGGGTGAGAACTGGGAGCAGAAGACAGAAGCTAACAGGAAGGTCACGGTCATCGAGTGTTAGTTCACCCGAGAGAAAAAGGAGTGGAGCAGAGAGGGAATGGGGAAGAAGGAAGGCTGAGCGGTGGCCACAAGAGAAACAGCAATGTTGTGCTAGAGGGGAGAGCAAGCCCACACCTGGCAGCTGGAGGACCTGCGTCTCAGCTCCATACTCACCCTTTATGCTTCATGCCATAACAAGCAAACCACATGCCTCCCTGCATCTCAGCTTCCTCAACTGCAAAATGGGGAAGATGATAAGACCTGCCTCACAAGGTGTTCTGAGGATTAAATGAAAGCATCCTAGCACTGCTCAGCTTGATAACTGCTCACTTACGGTACCTCAGGGGCAGTAAGTAGCAGGGCCAACCTGTGCTGTTTCAGAGTCTGCACACTGTACAAGGGGCCAGGCCAGGGCAGTAAAGGGGCCTGACATCCAGCCCTTGATCCACCAGACCAGTTGTGCCACTGGTGCCAGTGGGGATGCAGGCACCCTTCAAGAGGTGGCCTTGGAATCAAGCCCCTCGTACGGGTTCCTGAGCATCAGTCAGGAGTCCAACCAAGAACTCAGGAGTTCTGATCACTTTGGTCAAGGACCAAGAAAGAGTGGGAGAGGGCAAGGGGCTGTGGGGGACACCAGAGGGAGAGAGCTCTTAGCTCTTCTCTGGAAAGTTGGGCAGAGCCAAACTATGAAATCTGCTAAACTGAGGATGGAGACGTGGCAGCTGAGGAAAAGAAGGGTACGGGTGCTGAAGAAGCAGAAA